TTTGAAATCGTTATTTTATTCAACTTTGCACTAGTATTTTGAGCATGTAGAAGAGGCTGAATGGGCAACAGAAGTATGTAAAGCTACTGGTTTACCAGTTGCCACTACGCTATGTATAGGACCTGATGGTGATCTGCATGGAGTGTCAACTGGTGAATGCGCTGTCAGATTAGTTAAAGCAGGTGAGGATATAAATACTGGATAAAGCGACCACCAGTTCCCTCGTTTCATCACAAATTCATAAAATAGTCCTGTTTATAGTCTGCACTTTCCTTCAGAAGATTGGGACAAACATAGCCACATTGTTTTACATACATTGTATATTTCGCTAGGAGTTCCAAATCGCTGCACGACGACCACCGCTCTTTAAGTCAAAAATAATTTTACAAAAAAAATAACTTGTTTTACAGGTGCTGATATTGTAGGTTTGAATTGCCATTTTGACCCTACGACTACTCTTGCTGCCATTCGTGAAATGAAAAATGCTTTAGATGGTGCCGGACTCAAAGCTCACTTGATGACTCAACCATTGGGTTATCTAACACCAGATGCTAATAAACAAGGATTTATTGATTTACCGGAATTCCCATTTAGTGAGTACTCGTTATTAGTCTATTTATGTATTGTGCATTGTAGTCTTAACTAACAATTTTGACTACTACCTGTTGTCTTTAAATTATTTTTTGAAAAATTCTATTAAAACAGTTCACCAATTGATAATTACGGAAACCCACAAACTTTGCAAAAATCTGCATGCAAATGCTGCCGTGAACTTGTTGACAGCAAGACGTGTTAATTGACCCCCCCTCCTAACAAAAAAACGATTCATGATGTAGGGAATGGAACACTATGCCCTTAAGGTAGAAGCCTACTCATAAATTAAAAAAAAACAGAATTTATTCATTTTGCAATAAATTGTACTCCAAGGCAATATAAGGATATTGACCAAAAAAAGTTGGGGGTCACCAGCCTTTTTTTCGAGAAATTAATGGTTGTATTTTAGTGGAAAGTCGCCATTTTGACACTATTATAACGCCTTTACCACAGGTTCCTATGGCAGAGATATTACGTAATATCTCAAAATCTAGCCTGGTGATATAGTCTGAAAAAATCATACATTGTTAATATGATGGGGTACCTGTTCTGAATTATTAAAAAAATCGGGGTTTTAAAAAGTGTCAAAAAATCCATTTTTTTCTTTAACATTATGTTCTATGGAATTGTTCTAAAAATAGCAATTTTTAAGAAATATTAGGACACGTTTCTCAAAAAGCATAACTGTAACACACAGAATAATGCTATTTCATTATACCATAGAACATTAGCTTCATGATTGTACATAATAAACTAATGAACATTGTCATGCGATTTATGACCAATTTTGTCAAAAATTATGACTAGGCTTCTACCTTGAGCCATTTTATGCTAAATGAAATCCTTGGGTGCCATTTCCGTATAAAGCCAGTTTTTTTATTAAGTCTGTTTACAGCCGCGGTAAAATGACCGGTTTATTTTATTGCATTTGTGCAGTTCCCTCGCAAAGACTAGGAGATCAACACCCCCCCACACACTAAAACGTGAATGGACACTTAGTACGAACTAAAAAATAACTAGATGATAACTTTAGTATGCTGAGTTGAGGTGTGAAATTTGTCATTTGAATACAGGAATGTGAAATATAACAAAGCTACATTATTGATTTTTTTTTTATTACTGGACACTCTGCAAAGTAGTATCGTAAATAATAATCTGCCATACGAAAAATTAAATTGATTGTTCTGATTATAGGACTTTTCATAATGGTAAGATTACGAATGAGGGCATTGTGTATTTCTGTGAAAGCACTAATTGATCATTTGTGGCTATTTTGTGTGCACAAACTCAGAACCACAAAAAAAAAATAGGTGTTGGAAAAAGTTAGTACTGTATAATAAAATTCCAGTTGAGTTATGTACCCTCGGAAGTTCATATTTATAGTAATTTTATTTGTGCAACAACAGCCAGTTTTCCCATTGCATTTTAACTTGATCTGATCAGGAAATTGATTGATTTTTTTTCTTTCACCAGGTTTGGAACCACGTGTGTGTACACGTTGGGAAATACAAGAATATGCACGTGAAGCTTATAAATTGGGTGTGCGTTTCATTGGAGGCTGTTGTGGTTTCGAACCGTACCATACACGTGCCATTTCTGAAGAATTGGCACCAGAACGTGGTTTCCTGCCAGCTGGCTCCGAGAAGCATGCTCCATGGGGAGATGGTCTTAGACTGCACACCAAACCATGGGTCAGAGCTAGGTATGTAATGTACAACTAACTTAAATTCATATTCATAAACATACTGGGGCTGAAGTTCTTGGCCTGCATGCCTGCATGCATGCATGCATGCATCCATTCATTCATTCAAGTGTGTGTGTGCATTCATGCATGTGCCTGTCATTTTTAAAAATCGATAAATTTCTTGAATAGATTTATAATAAAATGCAATTTCCGTTTTTTGAACAAGATTTAATATGCATACAAGTAAGCTAAACGTGTACTCTAATTCAGTTGTGAGCAAGTTATTTGATTTGATATTTGACTATGAAGACATTAAAGCTTTGAATATGCAAATGAAGAAAATGCACTGCGATATTGTTCATAAAATGTTTGTTTACTCGTATATTGCATACAGTATCATCCAATTTGCATAATAGAACTTATTAATAACTTATTGTATTCATCGTCATGTTAAATTGGTTCTATTGTTTATCCAAAATTTAACAGTTGGGAACCCCTACTCTATAATGCCGTAGGGAGAACCCTGCAATGTTGTAGTACCCATAATGCATCTCATCGCTGTCACTACTATATACTGCAGCATTTCGCCATATAACAAATATGTGATGACGTAATAATGTATGTTGCCTCAAACTTTGGACAAAGATATGTTGGCAGTAAATCATCTTGGAAGTTAAAAAGTGAAATACGAAATCTGATGCGTAAACAAATATCCTGTCTCAAAAGCAATATTGATCTTTACCAGCCACTTCCCAAATATGGTCATATGAGGTTATGAGAATACTGCAAAATGTGCACAAAGGCTGTATTGTTGTGATAATTATAAATATATATATATTTTTCCTACTTGTGGTAATAATTTAATGAGATAATATCATGAAATGACAACAGAGTGCAGCGCCAACGTTCACGTTCAGTAACTGAATTCTATTTCCATCCCACGCTGATAGCGACTCTGCATCTGAAATAAACCAAGAAAAGCATTTGAATGTGACGCAAACGTGACGCACAATAGGAAAAACATTTGAACCTGTCTAAACAGCGTTTCATGGACTGGTCAATTCTATGTCTTTCGGTGTCAGATGTATAATAAACTAATGTATTCACTAGTTTGTTACATGCCAGTCAGTTCAGGGTTTGTGATTGGCTGCCGTTTGGAATTTTTATGTATTTACTTACTGTAATCTGCTGTGGGTTGAAGACGATGAGTATGCAAATTAATATAGTCTTGTGACAGAAATGACACGTGTGCAAAATATGTGTATATAGCTATACTCATTCTGCTTATTAAAGCGGGGGAGTCTGCGCCTGCGCATAAAAACGTCTACGCGTGAGCCATTGCATTTTTAGCGTGCGTTATCGTCGGTTGGGAATCGATTCCCGCGCGTGCACAGGTGACGACACTCCCACTTTAATCTTAATCTATTTTTTGCTTCAAGTAAATGTAAAGTTTTCTATGCATATGTAAATATACAGTAACACTGTTTTATTGATATTTTTTTCAGAGCTCGTCGATCTTACTGGGAAAATTTGAAACCTTCTTCAGGTCGGCCATTCTCTGCAAGTTTATCCAAACCAGATAGTTGGGGTGTAACTGCTGGTGATCAGGAGCTAAAACAGAAATCTGATGCTACAACTGACGATGAACTCAAGCCTTTATTCTCTCATTCAAAATAGAGAACTACTCGGGAGGAGCACTGAATTATTCAGGAGTTTATAGTTTCCAAATTATAAATTCAGCATTTACTAGTTTTAAGTTCAAACTCAAACTTTTGTATTTACGTGAAATTATTAATTTGAATATGTTGGACACATACACGCAATGGAATAGGGATTGTGGAATACCTCTGTATGTAGAAGTTGTCAATTAACTTTGAACATTTGTCTGCATAAACATGTCTTTTATAATCAAACTGTTGGAATGTGAACATATGGTTTCATTGTGTTGGGTAAAATAAGTAGACATTTGCACCTCCATCGTATTGAATCTCACTTCAATGTATGTTTTTACTTCCAAACTTGCATTGTATTTCTAGCTTAGTTTTCCAGCTGTTTGAATCTTTCTGTGCCCCCTCTGTGGGAATAAAAAAATTGCAATTAAAATGAGCTGATAATTGACAATACATTTGCTGATGTCTTTGTTTATAACACACCACAAAATACTCCTGTTTAAAAGTACACGCTTGTCATGAATTCATGGTCTTAGTTAGCTTGGTTATTAAAGGGTCGTTAACTTTAAATTCATAGTTTTGTTTTTAGACTACAATGCTGGCGATAATATCTGTGATTGCATCTTTGTGCTGTGCAATATCCAGTTATTGCATTTGCACGATTACAATATACTTTAATATTGCAATGGTGCCCATGAGTCGGATCGATGCAACGTTGCGACTCAATTTTAGAGACGGTCAGTCCTGTGAACTTTACACAATTTAAGAAACTGCTGAATTTTAAAGTGACCTTATTAAAGAGAAGCAATGTCCCTGGTTTGAACTCTAAAAAAAGCAAACACCTTGTCTTTTGAACTAGTGTGTCCCAAGTAAATTGCAATGTAACATCACCCCCGCTGCCTTTATGTAAAAGTGTACAATGAAAACATGGCCAGAAATGTGTGAAGACATTTATAGCAAAACAAGCGAGATTGAACAAGCGGTCAAGCATGATTAAAGTACAAATTCCATGTGCTTCAGACGTCGTCGCATGCTGGATAATGTGGTAGTGATTGGTGAGATTTTGAACTTCACACCGGTCTGCAGGCCCTCGTGGTGATCAATATCTTAATTGTACTAGTTCGTACACTATTGCATATGTAAAACGACTGGCGCAATGATTGAACCATTTCAGTACCACAAACTGTTATCGGCTGTAAACCTCGTCACATCTAGACAGTACTTGGGAAAATAAGGAAAACTGTAACAGCGCCCCCTGGTGTTGAAATGCTATTTAAATGTCTACTGATTCCAATCTGCATATTTAGCTAATTACCATACTGAAGACATTTAATTTGCTCGTATGGTTAGCGGAAGGGGGGGGGTCAACGCTTTTGGTGTTCTACCCTCGTTCAGGATTTGAACTGTTCACGTCTTTTCTTGAAAAGGAAGGAAAACTGTCAGCGCCCCGTAGTGTTGAAATACCATTTTAGAATGACTGCTTCTAATTACCATAGACAAATTTGTTACAACTGTAAGGCCGTCGCTGATTGGCTGCTGAGCTAGAATGACGATTTTTGGTTTCAAATACCCCAGGAAAATGTTCCAGGTTCTTCGTGTAATTGGGTGTTCGTATTTAAGGGATTTTTCCACACAAAAACGCAGAATTCGGCCGAATTTTGTTATCTGTTGGCTTAATATTACGCCAACGGTTGTATTTTTGTGAAAGATTGGCATTTTTGTTCTGATTTGTAGGAATCTGAAAAACGAGTTTCACAATTGTCTCTTTAGTTTTATGCTGCATTCAAGATGGCGGTCGCCATATAGTAAATATCGTTATTTTATTATCACGTATGCGCCAGCTGACTGTGGATTGAGCATCTAATATGTGAACAACTTGCATATGGTTTGTAGCAATACAAATAAAAACATGTAGATCGACGTCAATGTCACACGTGAAAAATCGTTTTGACAAGTAAATGTATCTAATTTACATACACGCAATTTGGTAGTGTGCCATACATTTGCATATAACACAGTCTTACTTTTGTCAATATGCATTATGGCAGTGAATCCCAACCTCCAAGAGACTGACAGAAAATCATCTATGTGAAATTGATATTGCATTTCTTTGCAATTATTCAACATGGGGAATTGTCAACGATTGTGATTAAATATCATTTTCCTTATATACATTATATATATATTTATACTCCTACGACTACTATTTATCATAATGGGTGTATTTTTCTTGAGTTCCAAACTACTAATTTGGTATTTTATCAATAACATGACGAGTTTTGAGTTCCATGATGTAGGATATAATCAAGCGGGGTACAAATTGTCAGAAACCACTTGTCGAGAAAATACTGCCTTATTATAGAACTCTTACAGTGTGTTCTTCTGTTGATACACGAAACATTAATATGTTGAGAAATCTTAGTATTGCAGATTATTATACATTAATTTTGCATCATACCATATTGCAAACTCCAAATATGGAACGATTACGCGCGTAAATATCGTATCGCATTGTGTTGCGTGGCATGGCGTGGGTTTCATTTGGATGACAATCATCTCAATCAAAAGTTGGGAGAAAATACCAGAAAAAGTGGGTTAGGTTCTCGGGTATTTTTTTTTTAAATTTAAGACTAAAATTCCGTTCTGTCAATTCACACACTTTCAAAGTGTGCCAAAGACAAACCATATAGGCCACAGCTGCCGTTCCGTTATTCATTACTGTAACAGACAATTTATCTAATTTTTCTGACTTGCTTTTTGATCATTGTCTTGTGAGTTGCACAAAATACGACCAGACTTGTTCCATCTCTCTTCATTGCTCCAGGGATCTAAATATGCGGTTGAATGCCGAAGTCCTGTCCAGCAGGATTTATTTGGGAAACACGTTGGAGTGACATTGCTACGATTGACGCAATGTTTGCCAATAGAACACAATAATAGTACAACTGCAAATTTCTTGCGTAGTCAATTTGCAGTATACTGAAAATACTTTCACTCACACCTCAAATTGGCAAAGTGTGAGAAGCGGACAATTTTCGCAGTTTGGCAAAAGTTCATGTTCTCATCAGCATTGTTGATTTCTGCCATGTAGATATATTTTCATGCAAATATGTGCTGACCGTTGATAATTCTCAGCATTTATCAGTGAGAATTTGGATTCTCGTCATTAAACTGTTTTATTTCAGAATTTCACGGCAAAAAATATCAGATATTGGCTAGGACGATATGAAGTGTAGATGATCTGCGAGAAAGTGTCAGTTTCCCGCTCTAGGATTACTTTTGCAATTCAAAATTTCAGAGTAATAATAGTCTTCCTGTACATTGTATTTTCCCCAGCAATTGATATACAAATTAACTCAATAAACCATTAATAGAAAATTATATTTTTTTTTAAATTTACAAATGAGATTCAACACCATTTTACAATTTTTGTCATTACATTGAATATTTTTTTCATTTCCAATAAATGTGTTCACTTTTTGCTGCATATTTGCGAGCCAAGGCTAGTTTATTTAGCCAGCCATTGCTTGAACTTTACACCAAACACTGGGCATAGTTATCTAGAATGGAAACAAAAATAAGTTAGTCGGAATGAGTACTAACTCTAAACAGCTATAGTAATCAATACAACAATCAACTCCCAAACTGATTTGACCGCAACAGACTTGTTGTATAGCAAATATGAGAGAGGTTCATCGGTAGTACCTATATGTATAATATCAAAGTAATCGGACTTGATTATAAGTATCAAGTTTATTTTTCCCCAGGGTTATTAAGCACTTGATTCCAGTGATCAAATTGAAGATAAATTAAAATGTTTTGGAGAACTCCTAAAATGACAATTCTCCTCTAAAATTATAGTTTTAGTATCATCTAAGTCTATGTCAGTTATTTTATAGTTAGTCATCTGTAATAAGTTTTAATAAATGCAAACCATAGATCTTAGAAATTGTATGTGTTTGTGAAATATTTTCGATCGGCGGCCTGTGACGCTTCAGAGGGGGGGGGGGGGTCGATGATTTGTTGACTAAACCAGTCAGAGGGGATCTCGTTGAAATCTCGTTATATGCGTTGTTTCAAATGTATGTGTTATGTGTATGAGTTAAGCTACAAAATAAGATGAACGTAATGATAATAAAAAGATACATAATAATAAAATATATAGTAAAAATAAAATATAAAATTAAATTAAATTCACGCCGTACAATACATCAGATTTTAATCAGATTGGATGTCACGTGATACATTTCCCGGGCATGCGTAATCTGTAGATTGACATGATAGACGTTTGATGGAAGAAGGAGAAACATTTCACGGCATTTCACTCGAAACGTAAGCATACCATGTTCATTTATTTGTGATATTCTGAATACGATACAGGCGATTAGTAGTATTTCACGTAATCAAAACCATTTGCCCATCACTCTAGTTTATTTGATGGCGCGTAGTGTCCATGTAGTATTGCTCTGCCATCAGCCATTATTATAGTATATATCCCCATACAACATATGTTTATTGTGTACCTGTAAATTACCAATACTGATATATATATACAGATTTGTGTATGTATTTATAAACCCACTAGAATTCAAAGTGCCTGTGCAATGCCCCCACACACATCTCAAATTTTAGATCTGTGTCCCACCAAAATGGGCAGCTATTGATTTTTGGCGATCCGCTCCGCTAGGATTGCCCTTCAAATCATTTTTGTGTGCTTGTTGGCGATCCGCTCCGATAGGATTGCTCTTAAAAATCATAAATCAAATAGCTTCGCGCCAAATGTATCCTCTTCTACCAATTTGGGATAAAACGCCTCCAACATAGCTCATTCTACTCAGCATGAGTGTGGGCACAAAGTTACTATTTGAATTTTTGATATTTTTTTCATTGCCGAGAAATTTGACCTCAAAGTTGGGGTAACTGTTCACCAGCAGTGGCTTTTTAATTCTTCTTTGAATTTTGTGGCTGGGCCGATTTCGTTCAAACTTGGCAGGCAAGTCACACCTTCACTCTAGTTAGGTTGTAAAATCTGAAAACAAATTTTTGCCCATTGTTTCCATGGCAACAGCCAAAAACCTGATTTTGTTAATACGTCCGCACCAAATGTATCTCACCCTACTCAGCTTGAATGTAGGCATAAATTTATTGTTTTTTGTATGTTTATTTTCATTACCGAGAAAATTGAACTGAAAGTTGGGGTAACTTTTTACCAGCAACGGCTTTTAACTCCTCTGTGATTTTTTTGGCTTGGCTGATTTTGTTAATACTTGACAGGCAGGTTGTACCGTCACTAATTGGAATACTTTCGCCCCAAATTTATTACCTTCTACCAGTCTCGTAATAGCAGTGTTCAAATGACCATGCTTTTTTATTTTGGTTACGTTGCACACTGGTAAGAGATCACTGGTGCCGACATTGTTACACTGTACCAACGTAATCCCAACGCAACTTTG